CTGCTTGGCCTGCTGCGTTCATCCAGCTCTACACCTTGTTATCCCTTCATCGCGAAAGCTCCTTTCTTGCTGCAATGTCTAGGCCACTGATTTTTCTAAGAAACTCTGTTCAGTGATTAGAAGCAGAAACCGATTGTTATTGGGTGATCCGGGGAATTCTTTCCGAATTGTTAATCCTCTCTAGGGCTATTGTTTCTCAGCTGGGGCATTTTAGCTTCCTTTTACACAAGCTGTTGACGTCGTTTTCCACTTTTTTGTTTTTAATTCCGTACAGAAAGGCTGATGTAATCGTGTCGCACTATCCCCAGCGGCTAGCCTCGGGCCACCTTGATATCAATTTTAATGAAAGATTATCGTCTGGAGACGTTAGCTCAATTTATTTGCAGATGCTGCTGCCCTGACCTGAGATATTGGGAGTTTCTGGCAGTTACTGTTTTTATTTCATGCAGTTTTTTGAATTTCTCATGAATATCATGTAATGAGATTGGAGTACCAACCAGGAGGGTAACCAGGCCAATGTTCCTGGATTGAATGCACATTCTGATTAGCTGACCCTAGTCTGGGTACAGGGGTAAGGGAAGGGGTTGGGGGGGTAGTTACCTGAGTATTTCTCGACTGATAGTGAGGGAGCTAAGAGAATGAAAGACTATTGTCACTTCCCTAAATCCACCCCCACCCCCCTGCTGTTTTTCCCCTCTCTCTCTAGCCTGCAGACCGGCGAATGTGCTAGGCCCATGAAGCCCCTGGCAGTCGAATAGCCAGACTTTCTCACAGTCGGAGTTGGACGGGATGGTATAGTGGGTACCTCATCTGAGACAGCAACAGCTTTCCGTCGAGTCGGTTCAAAAGCGAAAGAAGAAAGAGTTCATTTGGGGAAAGATTTTAATGATTGAGTGGAGGGTCGTGACGTTGATGGGGAGGGTGGTTGTGATGTGGAAGTGGGCGGGGTTAGGCTAATGAGGGATCTGCTGAAGGTTCCACACGCGACTGGGATCTGGAGATTGTTGTAATAGTGTTAGAGAGTGTGTAACATGGAGAGGGATACAGTGTATCAGAAACAGGGTACAATGTAACAGAGAGGGATATAGTCTAACTGAGTGGATATGTTGTAGCAGATATTGGTTACAGTGTAATTCTACTTCAGTAAGGAGAAAATAGTCATTGTAAATATGGGTGACTTTATTTACCAGGAACTTTGATCTTGTGAAATTGCAGTTTCTTTCTTTCTTTCTTTCTTTCTTTCTCTCCCACACACCCTCTCACTCCTATTTCAGCCTTCCCGGTACTTTTCAGCCTTCATTCGCATCCTGTTGCTTCTCTCTCTCTCTCTCTCTGATGGATCCAGCGTCTCCGTGTCTGAGCCGGGGCTCGGTTCCAGGCGCTGCCTGCCCGCTGTCTGCGGGTGGCGGTAGGGATCAGGGATCCTCTCCGCTGGCCTCCCGCTGCTGCTCTTCCTCGCAGCCTCCGGAGCTGAAACGCCAAGCGGTGAAGAGGCACCACCACAAACACAACCTGAGACACCGCTACGAGTTCCGGGAAACCCTGGGGAAAGGCACTTACGGCAAAGTGAAGAAAGCAGTCGACAGATCCGGCCGAGTGGTGAGAAATGCTATAATTTCTGTAACCAAAAAAAGGGTCAACTTGCAAATCATTTAAAATTGTTGCCAAATGAAGGTCTGTTTTCTTTTCTTACGGCTGGGTGGGTTAAAGACGATTTGAGAGGTTTTGGTGAAAGATGCTAGCGACCAGCAGCCATTCAAAACTTTAGGAAAATGAGCTCCTCTAAAGCCGGCGCCAGGCTGCTGCTCGCTGCCTCGCACTCATTTTTTCTTGACAGATCTGGGCCAGATATTGTACTAAGTCCTACCCAGGACTGAGGTATTCGTTCCAGTACTTGCTCCAGTTTCCCTGTAGACTTTTTTTGTTTTTTTAAAACAAAGTTGTTCATGGTAAAATATGTATGCCAGAACAAATATTTCCAATCGTTGTGAGTTTGTTATTCACTGTAAATGCCCCAGCTATTCTGAATTGAATATGGATTGTGTAACTTTTAATTAAAAGCTCACAATCTGTCTGAACACGCTGTTGTTGAAATGATCTCATGGTATTATTTCCAGTGTTATCACGATAGCTGATGCTTGTAGCAAGCGTTATCTGCAGGGTAAATACTAAACCGAAAGAACTGCGGATGCTGTAAATCAGAAACAAAAACAGAAGTTGTTGGAAAAGCTCAGCAGGTCTGTGCAGAGAAATCAAATTCAATGTTTCGGGTCCGGTGACCTCAGAACCCTTTTTCTAGCAACTTTAGTTTTTGTTATCTGCAGGGTGACTTGGCGATTGTCAAAGAAGTCCAGTATTAATCCCGTTTCTTTCCTGTACTTTCTCCTCAGTACCTGCCTGCAAATTATAATGCACCCTCCCGACGAGTTAGGGTGGCCGAATGGCAAGCTTGTATTGCATAGGATTTCTTTGTGAGAGGTGCAATTATCCTTAGCTGGTTCACCTGGTCGTGGGCAAAAGACAGAGACAAACTCTCTCCAGAGTTTAACAGCAAAGCCTAAATGTTGGCCAACACTGGTTGTTACCATGTCCTAATACCGATTCTCTTTCCGCAAAAATGCTGCCCTGTTGCCTGGCCATATGAGAAGTTCAGGAATTTCCCTGTGTATGGCTCTGTAATGCTCTAATAAGAAATCCCCTAATTCTGTTGGATTCCCCAAGAATTCTACATCAGAAAAAAGTGGAGATCTCTCTTCCACCACCCCCCTCAAAAGAAAAGGGGGTGACACTGTCAATTTTAAAAACTCTCCAAGACTGGGGTTCTTTCTGGTTAAGTATAATCTGCATTATCATGAGAAGTGATCTGGGTCAATGGTTTGGAGATCCAAACTGACCCTGGTTAAACTGAATAATCTCCAGGGTGACCACCTGTTCCCTGTAGGAGAAAGCAGGTTGGCACCTGATTGTCTCAGATTCATTAAAGGCAGCCAGTCTGTCTTCCTATTTTCTCCCAGCCTGTGACCACTCTACACTTTCAGTTAATTTTCCTTTTGATTTAAAAGGAATCACTGGTTGGTTCTGATTTATTTTTCAGGAGGTTGTGAAAGGAGAGAAATAATGGGCCAAAGTTGAACACCCATTTGAAGATGGGTCTGACTTACCACACTGCGTGGTTAGTTGAAGGTCATTTCCAAGTTGTCCTTGGGGTTTTACTGAGCCAGTACAGTGGATATGTGAAGCCTGACAACTTTGGCAGCTGGAATTGCCACTGCTGTAGATATGGGATGGAATACAAGTGCAGGAGGTTTTGGCATAGTGAAATTGTCACTGGACTAATAATCCAGAGTCCCAGTTTAATGCTAAGGGGTGGTGGTTCAAATCCCATTATGGCAATGAGTGGAATACAAAACTTAAGTCTGGGTTTGAAAGCTCATCTCAGTAATTTTGACCATGAAAACCAATACCAATTGTTATTGAGTCATATATATTTCTAAAAATAAAAATCTGGCTCACTAATGTCCTTCAGGGAAGGCAATCTGCCATCCTTAATAGGTCTGGCCAACTTGTGACTCCAAACCCACAATAATGTGGTTGACTTCCTCTGAAATAGGCCTTGCAAACCATTCAGTTCAAGGGTGTTTAGAAATGGGCAATAAATGCTGGCCTCATTAGTGGTACCCACACTTCAGGAAAGAATAAAACAAAGTGCAGAGAGTTGTTGAAGTTGCTGAATATATCAGTGGAAATTCCTGGCCACTGTGACCTCTGAAACTGCAGAGAATACTGTTCAATCTTTGTGTGTGCCTGTGCCTGTGTCTGTGCGTGATCTCCCTGAATCCAATGCTGACAGTAAGTTCCATTGGCAGGCTGAAGCGAAAGTTGTTACTGGGACAAAGCATACTGAGCTGATCTACAATGATCCAGTGCACAATGAGACCATTTGGCCCAGCCTGCCTGTGTCAGCCAATTGATTCCATACCCTTCTCCCTGTAAATTGTATTCCTTTGAGAATTCATCCAATTCCTGTTTGAAAGTGGTCACTGTGCTATCACCATCCTCTCAATCTGGTGTAAACCATTTCATGACAACTTGCTGCATTGAAAAATTCTCATTTTCCCCATCCTTCTCTCTCCTGGCTGTTTTCACAATTTGGCAAATGTTCAAAATCTGTGTCCTCTGGTTACATCGGGTGCAGTGATAGTCACCAGTCGGTCACTGTTGGTGACTTCTTAGGGCAATATGTAAGAAGAGCACACTAAAAGATACTGGCTTACATTTAATTTACTCCTGCCACTGTGTTATTGTCATAGGAGTGAGTCTTTAATCCAATGCTCCTCCAAATAAATGCCACAAAAAAAAAGTAGCTTGAGTTCTGGGATATTTCACCTATTAATGATCAGAAAATCATGGATATGTTTCAGTTTTTTTCACAGGAATTTGCTTCCTAAGTGAATACTACCCTACTTTAACATTGGGATTTTTGTAGAAAAGAATGAAGGTGGAATAGGAGATGATATTTGGGTTGTAATCTTTGCTTTGTCTTCTGAATCTGTTGATCGCTTTAATTAATTTCCCACTTACCAGTCATGTCTCACTTCCCAAGTTAATGATTTTCAAACTGCCCAAAGACTGCTCATTTTGTTTGAGCTGAGCTGGCTCTGTGCTACCCTTTTCAATCTTTCTTCTCCTATCTTTCCTCTTCATGTTTACTCCCTCCAAGAGGCAGGCTGATGCTGTGGAGTGGTCCCCTGAGGCTGGGAACCATCCAGCACCCCCTGTAACTGATAGTTCATGTGCAAGTCAGGGCAATGAGTTGTTTGAGTTAATTGACCATACGTAGTATCATAACCAACAGTGGGTAAGCCCTAATCCAATGTCCAAAGTCCACATGCTTTCTTTTGGGGGACAGGAATCAATCCACAGAATGAAGAGACACTGCGGAAGTTGAATTCTAATTGTAGACTATGGTTAATTAGCTCAAAGTGGCATAGCAACATTGAGGTACTCTGAACAGAAGCAAAGTCAAGGTTTTCACTGATCTTTGGAGCAGAATCTCTTGTGAAAGTTACTTGGATGCTTTTCTACACATGTAGAAGTGGGGATGATCAATGATTGCAGAAAGAAATTGGTTGAACTATTGAGGGAAATACCAAGGTGGGGCTACTGGACAGAGTGGAGAAATGAGAACCAACAGGAGTGCTTTACATAGAGCCATGGATATGTGAGGTAAAAGGTGTCTGTCTGTTGTGACTCATACCTCTATAACTATTGTGACTAGAAGGACTGTTTGAACTTTTGCTGTTTATATTCAGAGTGGGGATTTGGAATTTATTTGACTCAGAACTTGGAGTGTACTCTTATAAAAATAAATTACATTTTACATCTGACAGAATTGGATTTTTCTAACAATCCTAACCTTGTTCACTTTTCTTTGATTATAATGCTTCCAGAAAGATGGACCTGGAGTATGATGAGGAAAAAACAGTTGGAGTTGAGCTATTGTGCTCATTAAAAGTATAATGTACCCAAAGTACAGTAAAAGCACTAATCTAATATTTACTGTAAGCAGCACAGAATTAATTTGTGATTCAGGCTTGTTTGCTCAGTAATAACCTCTGGTCGACTGTCCTGAATCCCAAAATTCACACTGTTAGATGAGGCCATTTAAAAACAAATGTAATTTCAATAAAGCTTTACGCTCGCCAAAGTGCAGCTTGGAAATATGCACAGACTTAATTGAATCTCCTATTATCATTATAAAACTATTGGTTTCTGTGAACATGTCCCCAGAATCTAGTATAGCTGAGACAATCAGTCATTGCTAGTTATGTCTTGTGTCCCAAGCACCAAATGAGATAGGTGGCAAGCCCAGTGCAATCAGCAGAAACATTGTTCTGTCAGTGTTTAGAGAGACAGAGGCAGAGATATTGAAAGGGAACCATGCTGCATGTCCAAAAGAAAAGCTTGTTTCAAGAGTTTTTGAATGTGTTAATTCTCGGAATGTGAGCATTGTTGTGAGGTAAGCATTTATTATATAGCCATAGTTACTGCTTGAAAAGGTGTTGGGGGGATCTTAATCTTGAACTGCTGCAGCCTTTATCTTTAAAATATATTCATAAAATTTGTAAAAAATACATTACCTAATCATTTAAATTTGACATTCTGTAAAGTGCAATGTGATTCCATTTTTTCCCTACTGTACTGAGGTGTTTCCATAAACTTAAAATTACAAGTTGTTTACTATGTACAACATTGAATAAAATTCATATAGTAAAGGTGTCCCTATGGGGCTGTTGGGTAGGCAGTTCTAGGATTGAGACCTGGTGATGATAAGGAGCAAAAAACACATCTCCAAGTGAGGTGGATTATTGTTGTAACAGAGTATTACCCCTCCCCCAATGATGGTCTTGAGCGAATTTTCACAACAATTTTTTTTCTCTATTTTCTATTTTAAAAATACATTTATCTAACACTTCTCAAGAAGTTAACACATTATAGATTGAATATTATATTGTTGTCAGATGACGTAAATGCTCGCTGTAGTTCAGAGAAATACAGCGGCTGGGCAGTACTCAGTGGCTCATTGTAATTGCTTGGCT